CTGTTTCTGTTATTTTATTTATTATTTATTATGAAATTCATTTGCCGCCATCTCGTATCAACAACTCTGGGCAGGTTATTCTTGACTGCCCTATCAGAGGAATCAATTCCTACCCCCAAATCCAGCAAGCATGAAGAAAGAATTAAAGGGCAAAAATTGGGATTCATCATTAATAAATAGTTTTACTTTCCCCCAATACAGACTATCTTATAAGACTCGCTATACTGTGATATGAAGTTTATCAATGAAAACCTGACAAGGCCTATAAGATGTTCATTGAATGGCCACATTTTCCATTTTCCAGAAGTCAGTTTCAAATTCTCAGCCTTCAAATTTACTTTGTATTTCAGCTTCAGATTTAAACTTTCACAGATAAAGTGGATAGCATTAGCGGCTGGTAAAGCATCACTGCAACAACTTCCTGGCATTGGGGACATTCTTATCTGACAGGCACAGCAGCCATATCCTTATCTTGTAAATATAAAGTATCAATCTGCATCTTTCTTGAGTTTGAAGGTCATGGACAATCATGCTCATTAACTGATATGAATTAACATAAACCCACTCAATTAAAAACAAAGTTTAATTTATACAGAAAATATTTCTCTTGAATAATTTTATAATTGGAAACACAAAGTAGCTCCCATTTTGTTGGTATCTTTATAATTGTCTGGAAATGGGCAGACATTCTGTTTTTACAATCATATGTTCAAAATGTGGAAAGGAACCAAAATCTGTCAAAAATTGTGTAAAATAAACAACAACAATTTTAATGGGCTTACTCTTTGGTAACCTCCTGCTTATTAGAACTATGTCCTAAGAAAAATCTGACTGTTCCAGTCTTGAACTGGTTTCAAACAGGCAATGGAGATCTTTGTTTTGCCCACTTTTCATGCTTGTTAAAGGGGAAAAAATTCCCTTCAAATTAAACACATTTTAAACACTTTCTTGACTTTAGGCTTTGCTGTATATATTTAACAGGAGTATTTTTTTTAAAAAAAAATGAACAAAAAATAAAATCTGAACCATTCAACTATACATTATATTTATTCCCAGCATTCAGGGTTTAAAGTATTTTTGGACAGACATAGATGAACAGCTTTCTGTAATTTTTATATAGCTTCCCACACAGAATGAAGTAAAACTAAGGGGGAATTAAAAAAAAAAAAACCAAAATGATGGCTGCAAATGTGGTTAAACCCCTGCTCCCTTTTTCACATGGGGTCAGAAATGTGAAAGTAAGGGCCAGATTGAATCATATGGTTATGGCTGCCATCTTGATTCTTTTGACCACTCTCCCACCTCATGTGAAGCCATGTCTAGTCAATTTACTGTCTTCCAGAGTTTTTCAAAGATTCTGAAATCAAAAGGCCAAAGCATTAATAACAGCCCTTTTCTGTCCCCTTTTCTCTTCTCTTCTCTTCCTGCATCTTATACAAATGCCATTTTTTCCTCCACTTTCTTTTCCATTGAAATCAGCAGTAAGAGTCCAGCATGTAAGAGTTCTTGGAAATATCTTAAAGAAAACATTGACAGTTTACTTAATTCATTAGTTGTACTAGTTTGAATTAAAGATACCAGTCCAATTGTTGAATCTCATTTTGAATGGCCCCCTTCCCCCTCTACATGTAGCAGACCATTTGTTCCTATTGGTACCCCTACTCTTGGAAAAGTCCCTGGAGCTTTCTCCAAGTTGCTAACTGTTTCCTTCCCATGCATTCATTTTTACATCTGGAATTGCCAGATTGCTCATCTTTGCATCATGAGGAGAATGAAGACCTAGTATGACTGTTAGTGCCAGAACATCTGGAGACCACTTACTTCTTTGGGATGGGAACCTGGAACAGTTTTTAAGCAGCTGGCCTTATGGCTTCATTGCTGAAAACTGTGTTTATCCAGAGTTGTTAGGTTTTTCACACAAGAGTTTTCGATGTAGCTGAAAAGGGACTATACACTCCTCCATTCCAAATTTACACATCACGGGTATTGACCTTATATCACCTTTAAAGATCTCATAAACAAATTTCTAAACAAGTGGTTGGAAGACTTTAAGACTGCAGGATCATATTATTGTTTGAGTTACTAGAATTCTATCTTGTCACTCCCATGGGAACTAAATGTTACACCATGTCATTTAGAAGAAAGAAATGAATAAGGGAGGAAAAAGAAATATGTAAAGCTATGCTTGATGTGGAAAGATTGGGCAAAGGCAAAACCTTTCTCCCTGTCTCACAATATTAACACTATGGGTCATCCAATCAAAATAAGAGCCCTGGTGGCGCAGCAGACTAAAGCACTGTTATTAACATCAGCTGCCTGCAATTATTGCAAGTTCAAATCTCACCAGACTCAAGGTTGACTCAGCCTTCCATCCTTTCTAAGGTAGGTAAAATGAGGACCCAGATTGTGGGGGCAATAAACTGACTTTGTATAAAATATATAAAAGTATGAAGGCTATTGCTTAACACATTGTAAACCGCCCTGAGTCTCTGGAGAAGGGCGGCATATAAATAAATAAATAAATAAATAAAGTTGTGAGTGCTGTAATGGATAAAAGGAATTGCTTTTCACACAGCATACAGTCTAAACTATGGATTTCACTACCACGAAAGATTGTTAGCAGTGACCAACAATTTAGACAGCTTTAAATGGGGAATAAAGAAATTAATGACTATCATAGTAATAAGGATTCTATGGGACTTTCAGTACTAAATAAATTATAGCACAGAAATTCCATATTCATTTGTAACACTGTGCCCTCTTTTAACTATCAGTGGTGTGAATTTTACAAATTTCATAGAAAATCTAAGTGGGAAGCTTAGCATCTGGCTGAACTCTGTGACAATAAAGAGCTGGACTGGCTATCGTTTGGTCTGACCCAGCAGGATTCTTCTTATGTACTTAACTGATGCTGCCATTTGTTTCAATGTCTCACATATTTTTCCCTCAAAGATATTTATCTACCCTTAAATTATCCTTTCCTCTCTTTTTTTGCTTTTCATCAGTTTAATCTTTTCCTCCCGCATAGGTCAATTATACGCAGAAAAAGAGTTTTATGGTATCCACCCAGTAAGTTTTTAATCTGCTTTCACAACTTGCTTTTTTGCAGAATTAGAAAGCATTTCTTTCTCTGCCAGGAATTCTGGGAAAATGAGAGAGAGAGCTATTGAACTTTGTGGTGAGAATAAGAGCAATCCTGTTGGATCACATCAGAAACCCAATTAATCTGGCATCCAGCAGTGGTCAAATGGGTTCTTCTGGAAAGCACTGGAGGCAGCAGCGTTGTGCAACTGAATAGAGATCACCTACATAGGACAAAAGATGTTAGGAGGAGGTGGGGTCCCAGTTTTCCAATGACAAGAGAAACAACCCTCTATATTTCTACATGATTGGAAAGGCTAATCATGCGCAACCAGGGGTCTTTTTGAAGTACGAGAACCAGAAATAATAAGTATCTGTTTGTGATTTCTCACTTTCTTCTTGCAAAATCCTTTTCTGGGAAACTTTGAATAATTCATAAACAGAGAAAATTTTGTGGGTTGTTTTTTTTTTTTTTTAGGAAAAAATACTTGATATTTTTCTATAATTCTGAAGGATCAACTTATTTATATAAAAATTACTCAGAAATTCATCACTGTGAGTGGAACATCCAATGACCAGAACAGAATTGTATCTTAGCCAGGAAGCTGGACCTTGTTTTAGTATAACACACACATACAATATTTTCAGGCTTGAATAATGTGACCAAAATAAAGTCCATATCCTGTGACTATGATCTGTACACACGTATCTGTAAAAATGCTTCTCTTATGTGTTATAGACTTGTACAGAAGATTCAGAATTCCTTATTGTGGTATCAGACCCTTTGACCTCTTTGAGCTGATGTTGCATATTCATATGTATATTTTCTTCAAATTATTATGTAGAGTATTTTGGAAGACATTCTGAAATGGCTAGCATGTTCTGGTAAGAAGAATTCTGGGACTTCTGGTATGGAAAACAATGAGGAGCATGGTAGAAAATTATTCTCCTTTTTTCAATGTAAGACTCTTCAAAGATCATTCTTTGAAGATAATCTTCCCTCCACTCCACCATGAATTAAAATGTTTTGGTCAGATTACAATTGTTACATGTAGGAAGACTGGGACTGTTTAAAATTTCACATCCATGAAATTTGCTGTATATGGAGGTGGCCAACAATTAAGAATCTTTATATTAAGCCATAGCTGCTGGCTACAAACAGCCATCGAGCACCTGTTTTGCAGTTTCCTAAAAGATATCCAGCTTTTGCCACCAACATTTAGAAGAAAAATTGCTGAGTTTCATCCATGGGATTTTTTCATTTTTTTTTTAAAGAAAGCAAATGTTTGCCTTAAATATATGAGTCATGGGCTATGGTCCTTCTGCTCTTTAAAGACAAAATTATTGTTGTGTTAAGCTGCACTGTGCTTGTAGGAAAGTGATCCAACTGTCCAACCCTTTTGAACTACTCAGACAGTAGTCTGCATGGCTAGAAATATTCAGAGCTATAGATAGTCTTAATAGGGATGCAGTGGCTCAGTGGTTAAGACGCTGAGCTTGTCAATCAAAAGATCAGCAGTTCAGTGGTTCGAATCCCTAGTGCTGTGTAACGGGGTGAGCTCCCATTACTTGTCCCAGCTTCTGCCAACCTAGCAGTTCGAAAGCATGTAAAAAATGCAAATAGAAAAATAGGGACCACCTTTGGTGGGAAGGTAACAGCGTTTTGTGCGCCTTTAGCATTTTGCCATGCCGGCCACATGATCACGGAGATGTCTTTGGACATTCAGTGCTGGCTCTTTGGCTTTGAAATGGAGATGGGCCCTGCCCCCTAGAGTTGGGAATGACCAGCACATAAGCGCAAGGGGAACCTTTACCTTTACCTTTATAGATGGTCTTCAGGACCAAAGGTCATAAACCATGATTAGCATTTCCTATTGAGTAAGACAGGAAAAATAAATAATTTGAAATGATATTGCACATTGTTCAGAAAGAAACCAGATTTATTTGATGAATATAAACAAGCCAATCAACATCAAGCACTTCTCATACACATGATAACAGTGTTATACCGTAGTACTTAACACTTCTACAAGACATTAATATTACAATGACTGCTCTAAAACATGCCCACTGATAATTTCTAAGGATTCCTTAGTTTCATATCAATATCCTTAACCACATGTCAAGTTCACAATCCAGAACATGCCACTCACTTGAAGAAAATTATTACAAGAAGCACTATCAAATGAGGATCAAAGATAAATAGGGAACACGGACCCCTTGTTGCATAACATTACATTCAAACAACCACTCTACACCAAAGAAAAATACAGGTACATGTTGTGACACATCTGAAGTCTTTTTAGAATACTACTTCAAAAGAAAACCAAACCCACTTTCAAATAAAGGTCAATGTGCATTTACATGCATACTGGTTACATAAAATTCATTTAAATACAAAATTCATTCTGTACATGTAAATGAAAGAATGTGCAGTACAAGCTTGACCCTACAATAAAACAAGACTACTCTTAAGTATTAACCAAAAGGTTTATTTGATTTTTTTAAACATTTTAAGGGGGAAGTAAACTACCAAACATTGCTCAAATAAAATCTCTGTCCAATGTCACAGTGTTTATTGTAAACCCAGAGATTCTTTTTATATATATTTATATATATTTGAAAAGATCCCTCCCCCCACACATTGTAGAATTCCATGACAAATGGAAAGAAAAACAAAACAATACTAGAGAAAATTTTCTTATACTGGGTCTAAGTCTTAGGCCTTGATAAAAGTTAGGAACAATAACCCCAAATAATATTTGAGACAAATTTGGCACACACACACACATACATACATATATGTATATATAAATATTTATCTATACAGTTTTGTTTTTAAGGACCCTATGTTTTCCTAGTTTATTTCCTACTTCAAGTATTCAGTTGCAGAATTAAGGTAAAGACCTGACAGTAAAAGACCCAGAAGGCACAATTTTCCTTAAAGCTCTTTGTGCACACGGCATAGAAATAAATATTCTACTTCATAGCCTTTTTTTTTTTTCATTTACTTGGTGCAGATATCAAAGAACATTGCAGAAGATTGTGTCCAGACCCTGGTCCCTTACTAGGACAACAACTTTGTTAAAAGAAACATGTTGAGTTGTCCAAGTTCACAAGTGCAACATTTGTCATATGTGCTAAAGAAACTCCCAGGAGTTTTGTTTTTTGAACAAACAAACAAATAAACAAACTCAAATGGTTGAAAATTTCATTGGTAGTTAAAGGACAAACTTTTAAATCATACATGAACATGGATTATCTACGCTATACAGATTTTGTACAGATTTATTATTCCATGTTATTAAATGGAATGAAAATCAAGCAGAGATTCTACTTGTATTCAGTGGCTCCTTAATTTCATCAAGAATGATGGTGCAACCAACTAATAGCTTACTGTTTTCTTCAGAAATCATAACGTCTAGGAGGATTGTTAGGATGTATGGCTCATACAGGATACGTAGATTTAATTGCACCAACCATTCAAAAATAATGCCAACATATTTTCTAAATTCAGTGCAAGGTTTTAGGAATATCCGGTTCAGAAACTGTTTTCCTCAAAGAAGCAGAGCGAGAGAGAAAGAAAATAAACCACTAAGATTTAAGGCCACACATGTTTAATTTCATGGGGAAACAGCCTACCAAGCATGACTGCTGCATGACTTCCATTCATTTTAACAAAGCCCAGCACATATCATATGAAATGAATGGAAGTTTCACAACAGATGTGACTGGTGGATTGCACGCTTTTTAAAAAAGTATCTGCAGATAGTCAGTGTTCACTTACATGAGCCAGGAAATGTTCTTCCCACTGGCAAAAAGATGTGCCAGCCAATGAACTAAATGTTTGCCTGCACATATGTGCTAGACAGAAGGAATATGCTCGTTAAAGAAAGAGCCTTACTTTGGGGATTCAGCACTTACTTAACCATAAATAATAATCTCTCACTACACAAAATAGTTTCAAGGTGGTCCTTCCGCCCACCTTATTTCTCCCTCCTGGCATGTGCTTTAACATGTTCACATCTATCAAAACCTGTTTAATGATGGAGATCAACTTTAAGTTAACAATACTTTTTTTTTTGTCAATATTGAAAATGCAATATCAGTTATGAAAAGCATTGCTTCCCTTTTCAGGAAACAATGTGGAATGCTCCTTTCCGGTAAAGGAGACTCACTGCATATATTGAATAATCATGACATCTTATTTCAATTATAAAAAGTAAGAGTCCCAGCTTTTATATAAAAGACTGTTGTGCTGTGCCTTTGGATGACTAAGAGTTGATGTATCTCCTTAGATGCTTGTGCATAAAAGTATGCACACATGCTCCCTTCAAGCTTTTATCATCCAGGTATACAATGACCCCTGCATAAATAATTTTTCAACAGCTTAACTGACAATCCTATACATGATTCTCTGGAAGTAAGCTCCATTCAGTTAAATGGAAATTACTTCTAAATACTTATGTATAAGGTTTCATTGTTAGATGCTCCATGCATTGTAAGAGACACATACCATGTTTGCATATGCCAATATATATATATTGATTTCATTTCCAACCTGGCCCAGAGTTTAATACTGGCGGTTACAGTATCAGAATGGGTAACTACAATAAGAAAGAAGAGGAAAATAAAGGTATAGTTTTTGTTACCCTGAAAACCAATATTACTGGGCACATGATATTTTGAACATCATTATGCAACAGTTTTCTAATACTTATAATAACTGAATGCTAAATGATACTCGAGAAGAAATCAGCTCAAGATTTCAACAAATGAAATTTGTTACATTACAAATTTCATTACAACAGATGAAATTTCAACTGCATATTAAAAATAATAGAAATCAAATGAAATATCACATCTCAATGAACTGTTTTAGTAATGTTCAGAGCAGATAGTAACTCAGTTAAAAATAGTGAAATAATTCATGTGACCCCCATGAAAGGAAATGAAGTTCTTCTGGTTTCCGATCAAGTCCCCTTAATTGTTTTCCAAAGTATCTGACTTCATAGTAGATTGCAAGAAATAATGGAGAAGACACTTATTTATGCAGCATATTTTTAAGGGTAACCTTTTGGGCTCCCTCCCCACATCTGTAGTCTTGCTGGGACAGTGTTCCAAGAGTGGCATTCACATCCAGAATCTGGTAAATCACATTTTTTTCTTCTCATCTTTCAGTGCTGCATATGCTTCTTTCTCCAGCTCCTCTGATAACTGCAGGAAAACAAGAAATCATCTAAAATGTTAGTTTTCATGATGTTGAATGATTTAGTTCAGCATAGGGAAGGCTGTTTGAAGCTGCAACTTTACATAACTTACATTTGCCTCTGAGTCAGATGAGATTTGGCCATTATGATCATGTAGGAATGTATAATGAATATAAGCAACACCCATAATAGAATTACAGAATAACAGAAGGGACCTTGGAGGCAGTTGTGGTATTAAAAGAGCCTTGGTGGCGCAGCAGACTAAAGTGCTGTTAAATAGCACCAGCTGCCTGCAATTACTGCAAGTTCAAATCTCACCAGGCTCAAGGTTGACTCAGCCTTCCATCCTTTCGAGGTATGTATAATGAGGACCCAGTTTGTGGGGGCAATAAGCTGAGTTTGTATAAAAAGAACACCGCTTTGGGGGGGGGAAAGCCCTACTAAGCAGGTATATACAAAAGTATGAAGGCTATTATTTAACGCATTGTAAGCTGCCCTGAGTCTCCGGAGAAGGGCAGCATATAAATTAAACCAATAAATAAACAATATTCAGCTGGTTTGCACCGGTTTGGGCAAACCGGTTGTTAAATTACCACCCCCCACCCAATCAAAGTGGATCCTGGATGCTGCGCTGGACTGCTATGGAGAAATGGGCAATGGAGCAGCCAGCACGAGGGAAAGAGAAGGCCGCTTTTCCTCTTTCTTCTCCTTGCTGCTCCTCCTGCCCTTGTGCCAGCGGCTCCATTGCCCATTTCTCCATAACAATCCAGCGCAGCATCCAGGATCCACTTTGATTGGGTGGGGGGTAATTTAACAACTGGTTCGCCAGCATCAGGTTGGCCATTGCAGGAGGCTCATCCCATATAGCGGAGCTGGAGGACAGGGATGGGCCATGCCTCCCACAACAGCCAACCTGGCCCTGGGTGAACCGGTTGTTAAATTATTTGAATATTACTACTGCTTGGAGGTCCTATAGTCTAACCCCTGCTCAAGCAGGAAACCCTATCCCATTTCATACAAATGTTGTTCAATCTCTTTTTAAAAACCTCCAGTGTTGGAGCACCTACAACTTCTGAAAGCAATTTGTTCCACTGATTAATAGTTCTAACTGTCAGGAATTTTCTCCTTGGTTCTAGATTGGTTCTCTCCTTGATTAGTTTCCATCCATTGCTTCTTGTCTTGCCTTCAAAGCCTATGCTTTGGAGAATAGGTTCTTTTCCTTGTGGCAGCCCCTTAGATATTGGAATACTGCTATCATGTCATCCTTAATCCTTCTTTACATTCAACTAGACATACCCAATTCCTGCAACTGTACTCCGTATGTTTTAGCCTCCAGTGTCCTAATCACCTTTGTTGCTCTTCTCTGCATTCAACATCTCAACATCTTTTTTATATCATGTTATGGTCCGCCAGTGGCCTGCGGAGCTGGCAGTGAGAAGGCTGGGGAGGAACACGGGCCAGTCCTGGAGTCTGGGGAAGGCCCAGACGAGGGCTCTGGATCGGAGGCAGAGATCGGGCCAGGGCCATCTGGAAGTTATGTGCAGACTCCGGAGCCTCCAGAGTCGGACATCAGTGAGGCAGAGGAACAGGGGGAGCCTATTCCCAGTGCTCACATGCACAGAGCTGCCAGAAGGCAAGAACAGTTAAAACAAAAGGGACGACTCGGGAGTAGGGCTTGGAGATGATTGGCCCCTCCCATAAGACATAAACGAGGAGCAAAGGCATGTGGGCCTTTACAGGAAGCAACGTTGTTCGTGCTGGCTGGTTTCACTTCTGCAGCTCCATTTTGACTCTGTGTTCTGGGTGGCCTTGCAAAGTTAATTGCCAATTAGTCTTGGCAGCATGTCAAGGGAGATAAAGGTGGGTGCTTATCAGCCTTATCCCAAAGGACTGTGGCAGACTTCTGTTGGACTCTTTTCAACTATTTGGGACCCATCTGTGAAAGAAGAGAATTCGCAGCCATTGAAATAAAAGAGGATTTTTGGGACTCATTGTGCGCTTTTACTGTATCAGGAAGCCTAGGTCAGAACATATCATGGTGACCAAAACTGGATGCAATATTCCAAGTGTGATCTTACCAAGGCATTATAAAATGGTATGAACATTTAGGCTGTTCTTAGAAAACATGTTCATATTGCAGAATACATTTTCAAGGGAGATCTTATATATTCTCTTGTTTTATTTTATTTAAATGTAGACAATGCATTATTTCTAAGATTTTGAAGTCAGTGATATTATTAATCTTAACAAAGACATATTTTGTTGCTATTTGAATTATTTGGGGGGGATTCTAAATTATTCTGAGTTGAGAACGGCAACACACAACATTGTGGTAAAAAAAAATTAATTGATTAAATTAAAATATCATTAGCATAATTGTGCCATAGGGGGAGAGAGGTCATGATCAAGAGATGACACAAACATCATCAGGATGTAGCAAAAAGGAGGAGAGATGAAGAAATGGAGGATGAAAGGGGTGCAGGACTCCAGAATTAGAAAGGAAATGTACAGAATGATGAGACAAGAAAAGATGGAGGAGGAAAGGGAAGTTATGTGGCAAACGCTAACTATTGCAACAATTCCTCGACATTTATTTATTTATTTTATTTGTCAATAACATATTAGGTAATATATATAAGCATGGATTTGATACATAAAATAGATACAAATAAAGGAAACATAAGGCAGGGACGGTAGGCAAGCTGGTGAGCTTATGCACGACCCCTACAAACCTCTTAGGAATGGGGTGAGATCAACAGTAGACAGATATTGATAGATAGATATTGAAGGCAATATCTGCCTTCAACAACAAAACTTCAACAGAGAAAGAGTTGCAAAACCCTTTTAATATTTCTGTTGATGTAGGTGCCATGGCCAAAGTTTGCCTTCACTATTGTGTGTTCCTATTCCCTAGAGAAGCCACCAAATTTTCCTGTATGAAGGCAGAGTCAGAATAGGCAGTTTGCAACCTCTACTTAATGAACTCTTCAGTTCTGATAGCAATGATGAACCTGTTGCAAATGAGGAAAGGATCCTTCTGGGATGACTTCTGGTTGGCGACCCACGGCGACATGGTGCTGAGAGAGTGACCGCTACTCCCAGCGCCGCTAGTCACCATGATTTCGGGACCCTTTTCGGGCACGGAGCCTGGGGAGCCTCGCGGACATTAGAGAGAGCCAGGGGAGCAATAAAGCGAATTACAAACACTTATCACAAGACCGGGCGGCTCTGTCAAACCAACACGTGTGAGTCGGCCATTCAATGGCGGACCTGAGGCTGTGGTAGCCAGCAACGAGACAGGAGGTGAGGAAGAGGCTGCAGTGTTGAAATTGGATTAGTTCACCTTTCCCTGCTTATGTGAAGTTGACATTGGAAGAAGGGGCCGGCGGAGTCGGGTGTGAAGGGCTCAGGGTGGTAAGGAACGGCGACTGGAATTAGAGAACGGACTGAAAGGCTATAGAGCCCGACAAGCCGGCAGGGAGAATAAAAGATTGATCAAATTACTTGCGCAAAAGAAGACCGGTTGGCATAGCAAGTAATAAGAAATAAGAATCCAGAATCCAGAAAAATCTCTTTTTTGCTGTTCATAGCCATAGAATTATCGGAGTGAAATCAGACGGAGACTGGTTTGTACCAAAGAACAGGAAGTGCAGCCATTACAAAGACCTGACAGGGCGATAACTGAAGAGGCTGACTCACGGACAATCTAGCAGTGGAAAATACCAGAGAGTGCCGATTTGATCAACGGACCTAGAAAAAGGGGAGATTTAGAAAATATTGGAGGCTGAGCAATAAAGAACTTTACATATTTTAAAAGGGGATAAAAGGGGGGAAAAAAGGGAAAAAAATCAGGAGAAGACCTTCCAATCCTTATAGTAATTTTGATATTTTTTGATACCTTTTGATAACCATACTGTCTAATATTTTGATATTTTATATACTTATGTTAATTGTCAACTCTTAAATTAATTAATTTTTCATCTTTTTTCATATATAGCATACATATTTATACAGTTTCCTATACTTATATATAACCGTATTTATTTTTATTTATAATATCTACCTATATTAACTTACGTATATATATATTTACATTTATGTAATATTTATAGTTTGAAACTAGTTTTAAGAAATAAGTTGGGCATAGAGAATAAGTAATTGTGATTGATTCTGGTAGTAGTGTACTACTTTATGTTATTTACGTTATTAGGAGAGGCTAGATAAATATTGTACCTTAGGAGAATTTGAATTAATTACCTGCAAACATACTCAAAGTAACATTAGATAACAGATAATAACAGATAAGAAGAGGTGGCAATTAGTGAATGATAATTTGGAGAAACATTGAGAAAATAATTAGAGAACAAAAAACAGTCCTGAAAGAAATGACAAGCCTGTCATCAATGATTCTGAAAACAGGGAAGAAGACATCCTCCAATCCCACTATAACCATGACCTCTCCAGCAACCCAGAAATCAACGGAAGGGTTGTCCAAAATGGAAAAATCCACAGCAACACCGACCATGCAAACTTTGCAATCAACCTTGACTTTAATTCAAGAAACCATGATGATTATGCAAGAAATAATGTCCAATAATCATGCTGAATTAAAAACAGGATCAGAAGATGAACGAGATCCAAGTTTCAATACACAACAATGAACAAAGGATACTGAAGGCGGAATCTAGAATAGAGCAAAACGAGAAGAAATTAGATACTGTGGACCAGAAGCTTATGATGCAAAATAGGGAGTTAGAGGATTCAATAATCCAGCTGGAAATGGACAGGGCATCCTTCTACCTACGTTTCCAAAATATTGTAGAAGACAAAGAGGAGGACTTGGGACAGATGATGACAGAACTAATCACAGAAGTACTTCAACAAGACAAGCAAGAGATAATCAAAGAACTGGACGATGTCTATGGAGTACAGACAAATTATGCAAGGAGGAACAGGCTTCCTAGGGAAATGCATGTTAGATTCACGAGAAAAAAAGTGAAAGACATC